TGCCAGGTTGCAGTCTAAACGGACAGACAGAATCGAACAAACTTTTTACAGAGTATTGCCATTACACCTGGGCCTATAATAGGGGGAAAAAATTGGAACCCGACAAGGGGGCGTGGCACCTCCCATAGGCGTGAAATTTTTAATCAGCCATAACTTCCAGACCATAAGTCACATGAACTTGAAACTTGCTATGATGACATGTCAATGGTAGATGCTTAGGCGGGTATATATAATCGAGTTTGTAAAAGGGGCGTGGCACATCCCATAGACGTGGAATTTTTTATCAGCCGTAACTTCGGAGCCATAACGAACTTGAATTTTGGTATGCAGACATATCAACGGCCTTATAGGAGGGTATATATAAACGAGTTTGCAAAAGGGGCGTGGCACATCCCGTAGGCGTGGAATTTTTTATCAGCTATAACTTCGGAACCATAAGTCCCACAAACTTGAAATTTGGTATGCACACATATCAATGGTAGATGCTTATACGAGGTTATATATAAACGATTTTGTAAAAAGGGCGTGGCACATCCCATAGGCGAGGAATTTTTATCAGCTATAACTTCGGAACCATAAGTCACACGAACTTGAAATTTGGTATGCAGACATACCAATGGTAGTTGCTTATAGGAGGGTATATATAAACGAGTTTGTAAAAGGGGCGTGGCACTTCCCATAGGCATGGAATTTTTTATCAGCCATAACTTCGGAGCCATATGTCGCACTAACTTGAAATTTGGTATGAAGACATATCAATAGTAGGTGCTTATATGACGGTATACAGGGTGTCCCAGAAGTAACGTGCCAAACTTTAGGGGACGGTAGGTGGGGGGTGAGTCACTGATAAACAAACTTACCTTCATATATTTCTCTATGGGTCCGGGCGAATACTTCACGACCCGGATGTCGACGATTGGGGTATCGCTCTGCATAGAGTCTTTGAGCAGCTCTGGCATTACAGCAAGCTTCACCGTAAATTAGGTGAATATCCGCATATTCATGCGACGTATACTGCGTGTTCTGTCATAGTATTAATAACACAATGTTCGAAGGGTCCAATTTCACAAAATCCACTTTCACTAATTCCGGTAAGTAACACAAAATAATGTCAGGAGCAGGTAATAATGTACCTTTGTACTATTTAGCATGTCATTTGACAGTAACAAGAGCAAATTCAATTTAAATCTATTAAATACATTCTAGCGTGTCTCAGTCCTTTACCCACAAAAGCGGCTATAACTTTTTTTTCTATTCAAAACGGTAAGTGTGGCACCTTTCTGAAATCTTTATTAAATGAGCAATTTTTTTATGTAATGTAAAGTTATAGCTCAGTACATTTTTTTTCACCCGAGATAGTCAAAGTTGGGGAAGAAAATATCAAAAAGTTAAAAATCCAGAAATAGTCCTAATTTTGTGATGGTTCCTTAATATATTTTAACTACATTGCATTTGAGTATGGAGGGGCAACTATCTAGAAGTATTTTACATAAAAAATTTACTAAGTATTGCCCGGTTTGTAGTTGCAGTTAAAGAAAACACATGAAAAGGCACGATTTTTTTTTAAATTCGAAAAAATGTAAATATTTCAAAAACGGTGACACTTTTACCTGAAAATTTTTTGTTTATCAGTGAGCTCACCCCCCACCTACCTTCCCCTAAAGTTTGGCACGTTACTTCTGGGACACCCTGTATATAAATGAGTTTGTAAAAGGGGGCGTGGCGCATGCTATAGTCGTGGAATCCTTTATCAGCTACAACTTCGGAACCATAAGTCCCACGTACTTGAAATGGTAGGTGTTTATAGGAGGGTATATATAAACGAGTTTGTGAAAGGGGGCGTGTCATATCCCATATTCGTTGAAATTTCTATCAGCTATAACTTCGGAACCATATGTCGCGTCATCTTGAAATTTGGTATGCAGTTATATATGTACATATTTGGTAGGTGCTTATAATATGGTCTATATAAATGAGTTTGTAAAAGGCGGCGTGGCGCATCCCATAGGCGTGGAAATTTTTATCAGCTATGTATAATTTCAAAACCATAAGTCACATGAAATTTAAATTCGGTATGCAGACATATCTATTGTAGGTGCTTATAGTAAGGTGTATATGAATGACGCCCGTAGGCGTGTAATTTTTAATCAGCCATAAATTGGGAACCATAAGTCACATGAACTTGAAATTTGGTATTCTGATATAGGTATCTATGGGAGGTGTTCAGAGGAAAGTATATATAAATGGGTTTGTAAAAGGGGGATATACATATATGTATTCATCTATTAGATAACTCGGATGTTTAAAGCTGTGTGTGTTTTTTTAACCTTGCCGTCTTTAGATTGTTTTGAAATGGAAAGATTAAATCGTTTTTTAATCCCGCGATGCTGTTAAACGGAAAAGGTTCATTCATAATGAATAAAACTCCTTCCGAATTAAGCTTTCTACCAGAAAAGTGCAACTATACTAAAACAGCTAATCGAATAGGCAGCTAAACGGAATGTACCGTAGTAGAATAATTTTAGTTTAGAAATTTGATCGTTACCTTAATCCACCAATATTAATAATGGATCAAGATTTGTAGGACAAGTGATGATCAATATATATTAGTTAAAGTACGATAAAGCTAAAAGTAAGGATGCCTTAATGTAAACAAAGAAAATAGTTTGTCTCCTTTAAATTATGCTGAACTGAATATTTGTATTACTGTTTTATATTTTGATTTGTTTACCCCGAACAACGTCGGGTGCTCTGCTAGTCTACATATAAATGTGAATGTCTGTTTGTTTATAACCTTATAACTTCTGACCCGCGGCACAGAATCGCACGAAACTTTGCGCACTTATTTGCCTTTACCCCGAGAAGGTTATAGGAATAGAGAAAAATGGGCTGTCCTGGAAAAGAGGGCGTGGCCCCTCCTATACTAACTAAAATTTTTATGTTGTTTATCTTGAAATATTTGTGGTAGAGGATTGGAACTTGCTGTCGAGATAAATAAAATTAATTCCATACTCAGGGGAATAATTGGCGGTATTGGAAAAGGGGGCGTGGCACCTCCCATAAGCGTGAATTATTTAATGAGCTCTAACTTCGGAACCGTAAGTCACATGAACTTGAAATTTGGTATGCAAACATATCTATGGTAGATGCTTATCTTTAGGTATATATAAATGAGTTTGTGAAAGCAGCCGTGGCAGATAACATAGGCGTGGAATTTTTAGTCAGCCATAACTTCGAAACCATAAGGCACATGAACTTGAAATGTGGTATGCAGACACATTTATCGTGGGTGCTTATAGTAAGGTATATAAATAAGACTGGTGCCTTGTTTATACCTACGCAAGAACCGCATTAACAAAAGGCCAATTTGACCCAATACATATTTCATTCGAGCATTTATACCTATGTCTTTACAGCTCACTCGGTGAAACCGTATTCAAAAGTATACAAAATCTGTTGCTTTATTTCGATATTTCTTTAATAATTGATTTGCGCGATTAACCGAATTGGAAGCGAAAAATAATTCAAATTTATTTTAATAATAATTTAAATTTAAAACGGGCTATATAACTAGCCTATTTTCACTTCTCGTCAAATTAGTGACGTGTTTATACCTGTTTTCTAACCGATACGAGAAATAAAAAAGCGATTTGAAATCAAATTAGAGTCAATACACTTTTGAAATTCAGAGCGTATTGAAATTTAGTTTATGCATCCATTTTGAATCACAGCGAAGTGGATCAAAGCGCTTTATGTGTCGGCATAAACAAGGTTTGTGAAAGGGGGCGGCAAATCCCAAAGGCGTGAAATATTTTCGGAACCATAAGTCACATAAACATGACATTTGGTATGCGGACATATCTAGGTGCTTATGGTGAGGTATATATAACTGAGTTTATAAAAGGGGGCGTAGCACTTAACATAGGCTTGGAATTTTTTATCAGCCATAACTATGGAACTACAAGTCACATGACCCCCTTAATTCCTTCTGGCGTGGGTTGAAACCCGCGGGTAAAAGCTAGTTGCTTATAAAAACCACGATATAAAAATTTGAAGGTAAAACCGCTGAGAGGCAGCTTGAACATTTTTGAAGTTTTCTAACATAACAAAAATATTTTCAAATTTTCAATCTCACAAATACATTCTCACTTTCAGTCTCAAATAATTGAATATTTTCATCTATTTGTGTTTTGTTTTATTTTTATTTGGCCTCATAATTTCAATTTTAGTTGAAAAGCCATTGTACAATAATTACAGGTATTGTCTTCCCAGAGAGCGCATATTCCGATCTGCCTCATTGTTGCCCTCACTAAAAGGTTTCTTCTTCTTCTTTTTTGGCGCTGTAACCGCCTAAGCGATTTTGGCCGAGTTCAGCAAAGCACGCCAGTCGTTTCTCCTCTGTGCCAACTGACGCCAATTGGAAACGCCAAGTGAAGCCAAGTCCTTCTCCACCTGATCTTTCCATCGCAGTGGGGGCCTCCCTCTTCCTCTGCTACCACCAGCGGGTTCCGAGTTGAATAACACCGATTATTTTATCGATAGCAATCTCGATTATTATATCGACAAAAATATCGGGTTTTATATCGATAACAATATCGATCTTCATCCTCATCCTTTTCTTCATATTTATCTTCATTTTTGCATATTCCTCTTCACCTTTACCTTAAAGTGTTTAAATTTGCTTTGATCTTCGTTTTTGCCTGTACCTCTAGGCATCTTTGTTTTTGTTTTTATTCTCAAACCGCTAAACCGCTGAAAACCATTTCCATGTGCATTATTCACCTTGAATTTGACAATTTACTCCCAACCAATCAACTGCCGCTAAAGAAGTTTACTTCGTAAATTCAAGAAATGTTCTTACCCTTTTAGTTACCCTAATTCTTATGTATCTGTCATTGTCTCCATTTTCGTCTTTATCTTCACTTTTGCCCTTTTTTTTTGACTTCATCGTTCTCATTTATTTCTTCATCTTCATATTTATCTTTATTTCAAAGCTTAAGCATAGTACTAAGTTCGCGTTTCACGTGAAATGGCTGTCAAAATCCATACAAATTGCATTGCTGTGAAATATGCGTGAAATTTCACATGCGTCTCATGGCAAAGTAGTACTCAGTTCACGCCGTGAAAACACCGCGCAACATGCTAGCAACATGATGCCAGCAACATTTTTTCACCGCTATTTAAAATGCTCATGTCATTTAAAATTGAGCGAAAAGTGACATTTGTTGAAATTGACAAGCAGTTGAAAAGTTTGAAATTAACAAAACATTGGAAAAAGTAAGCTTATTTAAAATAATAAGTTTAAAACTCTATTAAACTGTTTCGTTTTTATTTGAATAATAGTGGAGAACACAACAGCTACCACAAAAAGGGCAAAAATCCAATTAAATGACGAAGAGAGGAAGAAATTACTGGCGGCTGTTAAAGGATTCCCATGTATTTGGGACAAGCAGCGAAAAGATCACAGTAACCGAAACGCACTTTCCAGCGCTTGGTACAAAATCGCGCAAATTGTCGGTAAACCTGGTAATATCTGAGTAACTATAGTGTAGTGCATTTATTTCCTCATTGCCAACATTTCAGAGGAACCTTGCAAAGCAGCGTGGAAGAGCCTTAGAGACAGCAAGCGGTACTATGCAAACAAGGCAAAAAAATCGGGAAGTGCGTGCGATTTGGAGGATCTCAACTTTGCGAGTGAAGTGACTGAGTTCGAATACTCAGAAGACATGGCGTTTTTAAGCGAAACGTCTTCGCAAAGAGTGTAAGTAAATCTTCTTTATATTGTGTCAGTATATATGTGTGTTAATTTGAATATTATAGAACGTTTTCCAGCATGGATGGTTTAGGAGCAGGCACCAGCTTCGACGAAAGTTTGGATCCCCCCGGCTATAATTATGTACGATTTAGTATAAGAATCGCCAATTCTTAACATAAACTATTTAATGAACTTTTTTCCTGTTCTATTTCCAGACGTCGACACCTAGCACATCGGCAAAGCGCTCCAATGCCTCTAATGCGGCTCTTCAATCTTCGGCGGAGAAAATGGATAGTATTGTGGAGTTGCGAAAAGCGGAGATTACTCAGAAATCCAAATTTGAACCCCTTTTAAAGCACTTGTAGTCACTTCTGGAACAGTTACCGCAAAGCACGGCGAATATGTTAGGGGCGAAATTTACGCAAATGGCCTACGAGGAGGTTGAAAAGCACCAAACAAGATGCAGTGAAATGTAATTTTATTTTGTTCTATTTTTATTGTATTCCTTTTTGTTTTATTTTATTAATTATATTTTATTTTGTTTTATTTTATTTTTATTTGTTTTTATGTTTTCGCTTAATTCAAATTATTTTATTTTACATTATTTCATCTAATTGAATTGAATTTAAGTTATTTTGTTTTGTTTTACATTGATTTGTTTTCTACATTTTATTTTGTTTTATTAATTTTATTCAGTTCATTTAATTAAGTTTAATGTAATTTAGTTTTAAGTTAATTAATTATTTTATTTTACTTTATTTCATATAATTGAATTGAATTAAAGTTATTTTATTTTGTTAAATTTTTTCATCCTGTTGTGTGTGTTGTATATTAAACATAACACATCTAAATAAAATAAAACATTAATGAACTTAAACTTATTTTCATTTTGATTTAATATTTTGCTTTAAATTTATAATTCAAAGTAATACATGTACTGTTTCAATATACTATATGTACATATGGATGTAAAACGAAAAATAATGTTGAATATTGCAATCCAGTGAAAACGAAATTCTTTCGGTCTTGTGATCTAAAATTAGGAAAAAGGAAGGAAAAGGAAAATTCCTAAAAATAAATAAATAAACAGGAGTGGCCATACCATTCTTATTTAATCTAAACAAGCTGCTCTGCGCTGCCAGGCTATCGATCCCTCTTCAGAATTAAAAAACGCAGACAGATTTTCTCGAACTTGAGATGCAGATTGTGGAAGCCTTCCAGCTTGAACGCTGCGCATTTCCGACGAAAAAAGGGAGTTGGCAGGGATGTGGTGGCGAAATTCGCCTCCTATCACTTCTCCGAATTCGCTGTAGCCATCGGCGCAATTCGAAGGACAATATTGAGCTCTACGAGTCCTTATGAGGAAATTGTGCAAATAGCAGCACGCAACTACTATTTTTTGTGCTTTTTTCGGGGAGCAAAACATTTTTCTGGAGAGGCAGTAGAACTTCGAGCACAATATTCCAAATGCATTTTCGATGCATCGCCGCGCTCTGCTAAGTCTATAATTAAAAATCTGATGCTCTTCTTCCAGCCTCCTGTTTCGCGATGGTACATATGGTTTCATAATCCGCACGTGCAATGGAAAAGCATCATCTGCAATAAAAACGTAAGGGCGTTCAACAGCTTCGGGAAAAGCGAGTGTTCCACTAAGCCCCGCTTTTCCGAGGGTACATTTTTGAAATATGCCGGCATCTCCTTCGCTTCCGTATGCCCCGATGTCCAAGTAGGTAAACTTGTAGTCACCATCTGCTGCAGCCATTAGTACCAAGCTGAAGAATCCCTAATAATTATAAAAATACACCTTGTTTATACCTACACAAGAACTGCATTAACAAAAAATCGATTTGACCCGACACACATTTCTTCCAAGCATTTATACCTGTATCTTTATAGCGTATTCAAAAGCAAACAAATCCACATTTCAAACGTCGTACAAAAATTATGAAAACTCAACTAACTTTAACATTTGCACCCGAAAATTTTAAACATTTTATTCAGCATTTTTAAAAAAATATAGGGTATGCAGTTTTGTAGCTCATTAAATTTTAGTAGGTTAAAGTGCAAATTTCAAGACGCTAGAAAATCGCGTTGATTTTGAAAATTTTTTTTTGCTGATCATGCTAGGCCAAAAAATAGCCGAAACTAGTCAAAATGTTACTTGACTTAATCAGCTGACCACAAGTGTATGTCAGTATAAACAAGGTTATAGAAAAACTCTAAGTTTAAATAGAAGCTGAAAATGCTTTCCATTGCTCTAAATGTATACCTTATAATTATAAAAAAGGCTTCCAGAATTTCGTGGACACTTAATGGCAACATGCTTGCCATCGAGAGCACCTCCACAATTGGGAAAATTCCACTTATTAAATGTGTATCCAATACGTTGTATTTCTGCAGGTGTTAGCGGTGGAATTTCGTTGCCTAAAGCAGAAATAATGGCGTCGCAAACTTCGGTTAAAATGATTCCAAAGTGTTGTTTGCTTATACGGTAAACAGACGCAACATGCCGTTGAAGTGTTCCACAAGCAAAGAACCTTATTAAATAAAATAAGATATAATAAATTAACATAGCAATTGTTAAGTTAAATTAAGGGCATGGACTTACTCCAACACGACAGCCAGCTTTTGCTTTGGTGAAATTTCATCGTTTGGCCTTGTTCGCTTTTTAGGTTGCAGTTGAGGATGAACCAGCTCATACAACTCGTTGAAACTACATACATCCATATGAAAATTCTCCTTGAACTGTTTTTCATTGGCCACTAGGTCATCAAACTGCAAATGATTGATTAGATTTCGGGAAAATTAATGTATACAATTAAATTACATATAATTGCATCCTAGACCGCTTGACCAATCATAACATAAACCAGTCGAGAAGCGCTAGGTTACGCTTAAATCCAGCTGCGGTCAATAAGATAGCAACAAAATTCAAAGTTATATTTTTTGAAACTTATGTTTATTTATACCGCATAAAACAAAGTTTTAAAGCTGGCATAAGTTCACACAAATAAATCAAACTTAAAAAAAAACCATGAAAATGTCAAACGTCAAGAAAAAGCCAATTTTTACGGGAAGTGCCACGCCCCTTTTTCTTCAGTTTGCATGGAGTTGCCACACCACCTTGTCTAATAACTCTTATTTTTCTCCATGAGTATGAGATTAGTTTCACATACATATATATTTCCATGCCAAACTTGAGTACTTTACCCCAAATATTTGAAGAGATATGCAATAGGAAGATATGAATATGCAATAAAGTTAATTAAACTTATTTAGCAGGTGGCAACTCTTAAACAAAAATTAGCCTATTTTCCAAAGTAGGTCATAAGCTATCTGTGTACAAAATTCCATGCAAATCCGCTCAGTCGTTTCCGCGTGATGGTTTCCCAAACATCCAAACATGCAAACTTTCACATTTATAATATTAGTAGGATTACTAAAAACATACAAATAAACATAAGTTGCAAAAAATATAACTTTGAATTTTGTTACTATCTTATTGACCGCAGCTGTAAGTGACCAAGTGCGGCCGGACAGACAGACATGCTGATCATTTATATATATACACCTATATTTTTTTTACGCTTCTACGCATTTTCCTCCAGATAAAAAATTACCAAATAAATTTTAGCTTGCAAAATATTGTTAATAAATAAAAAATAAATGGTGTTCGCAGCCTTTTTCTGCTAGGTGTATGTACATATCTGTAACCAAATATGTATAAAATCAATTTAACTTAAATGCATAGCGACCGATTTATACTGTACTACATGTGCATACATATTATACATATCGTTACCTTAATATAGAAAGGCCCTAACTCATTTTCACTTCGAATCCAGACTTATACAAAATCTGGCAAATAGCTCACAATATATCTGATAGAAATTGAAAACAAATGTTACAGCGTTAGATAAAATATTATATTTAATAAAAATCAGCACTTCGACGAAATTCGCAACTGTAGAACTTTGCTTTTCGCTAAATTTTCAAACTATGTTTGAAGAAACAGAAATGTGAGATAGGGCCTTTCTATATTAAGGTAACGATATATAAGTACATCTAGGAGTTTGTGGGTGAAAGGTGGTAACCAAGTATTTCTTCCCATTCATAACGCCACTGAGAGTGTATCAAACAATTTGTATTATATACTTACATCCTTTGCGAAGCGCCCCTTTTCTCCCCTTTCCCTCAAAAATTTGTTGACTTCTTTACGCGACTCTGCCTTCAAGGCCTCCGCAATCAAAAGCACCATTTGGGCTCCTGCCATACAAGCCACTTCTTCCAACATGCTATTTGTTGTGCCGGAAGCTCGCAAAACTCCCCAAATGCTGCTAAATGTAGTTA